GAGTCGTGTGAAAAAGAAAGTACACCCTCCCTTAGTTCTATGGTGTTACATATTAGGACGACATATAAATCATCTGCTCCTTAGCAGGTCTTAAAATGAGGAAAATACCTAAACCTCCAATAAAACACGCGACATTGTACAACTTTACTGTTCATATACTTTTGAAATAGATTTTCAATTTTTTTTTAAATTTAACATTACCTGGTGATTCTTCCATAATGGTCCCTGATCAGGCACTTCCTGTGACAGGATGACAACGCTCTGCCCTCATCCTCATATCTTCTCCAGGGTTGTCACCCTTTCCCTATGGAGACTATTAGCAGTGGTGTTGAAAACATTGCACGGGCATGGTCCACTGTTGTCACCATCAAGAAATCTTCCCTGAGAAATGCTGTGCAGTCATCACTGGAGCGCATGTAGACAGGAAGTGGCTGCAAAGAGACTGCAGGAGATTTGCAACAGTGTAAACTTCCATCAGTCCCTTCCCTCCAGGAGCTTACAGTCTAAGGTCCCTGTCTCACATGCATACAGAAATACATACTAAGACAGGGCTGGGCAATCTCTGGCCCTTCAGCTGCAGTGAAACTGGAAATCCCATCATGCATCTGTCTCTGGGAAACATGCTTGTGGCAGTCAGAATCTTGCAATGCCTCATGGGACTTGTAGTTCCACAACAGCTAGAAAACTGGAGTTTTCCCACCCCTGTAATAGAGTGAATCTAGACAGGAGCCAATTAACCTTCCAGAATGTTTTTGTAGTGTGGGAGGAAACTGAAGTCCCCGGAGGAAACGCATGCAAGCGCAGAGAGAACATGCTAACTCCATGCTAATAGTGTCCCATCTGGGATTTGAATCATAGATCCAGCAGCAGCACAGTACTCTGAACAGGCTTCCTAAAGAAGAAAGCAAGGGGATGAGCCTGTTGGTGTGCTACTGCTCCTTCACTATCCAATCAGGAGCTTAGGGGCAGGTCCTTAACCAGGCTGTACTGCGTAACTGCAATGGAGTTCTGGAACCTGGCTGTGTTGTCTGGCAGTAATGGGCCCGTCTGATAGTATCGAGTACCAATATTTTTTTTCCGGTACTCGCCAATACCGGAAATGCCATTAAGGAAGCCAGGCGGTGTGTATTGACTCGCCACCTGGCTTCCTGATTAGCAGGGAAGCCGTCTCCATGCTCCCTCGTCACCTGGTGAAGAGGGAGCATGAAGCCGGCTTTCTGGCCAATCAGGAAGCCGGATGCCATGTAATTACGCATTGCCCGGCCAGCTTCTCGACCAATGCGTCATTACACGGCGCCTGGTTACCGGATTGTCCGGGAAGCCGACTCCATGCTCCCGCATCATCAGGTGACAAGGGAGCATGGAGCTGGCTTTCTGGTCATTTAGGAAGCCGGGGGGCGTGCAATGACTCGCTGCCCGGCTTCCTGATTGGCCGGAAAGCCATCTCCATGCTCCCTTGTCACAAGTGAGGAGGGAGCATGGAGTCGGCTTCCCGGCCAATCAGGAAGCCGGGCAGCGTGTAATGACTTTCTGATACTGGAAGTTTCAGGCTAGGCATCGGAGCATTTGGACGAGTACTCGCCCAAATACTTGGTATCGGTATCGGTGCATCCCAAGTTATTATCACAAGACGCAGTTCAGAACCAGCCTAATAAATCACATGGGATGCTCACCATCAATTGCTTTTATTGTGCCATCCAAAACACCCCACCTTGGTCTTCTGCACTCCACACACAGCCCAACGGTAGACCAGTACCGATGCTGGAAGGGAGTCAATGGGCTCCCTAACAGCTCCGGGCCAAGTTGAACTTCTAGATAGGTTGACATAAATCACATAGTGATAAAATACTCCGGGAAACAAAAACAGCCAAAGAGTAATTAAAAACTCATTCCGCCGTCGACTCTGGAGAACGCGGCCTTCTTCAGTAGCGACGCATTCCCCAAAGATCTCGTTGGTAAGCAGCAGCCGTCATTTCCACCCCGATCTGTGTAACGGTTCACACTCCGCCAGTCTTTTATGGCTGTTCTGCTCCACTTAGGAGATTGATTGGATGCCCGGGAACACAACTCATGCATTAATGAAGTATGCGCAGAACGCCGCTATCATTTATTCCTAATAAAGACCCATCCGGAGCGCTCGTGGTGGGTCGCGCCATGTTCGTCGAGAGCGGGAGACGAGAAAGGATCAGTCAATAGGCAATGAAGTGTCGCTGTCTTCGGGAGGCTGTACTATAAGGAGAGGATTCCTGCAAGGGGTCACCTCCAAGAAGTGGCTGACGGGTGCCTCTGGCTCGGTACGTCCTGGATGCCGGACGCTGCTGCCTGTTTCCTTCTCGCCTCGGGAGCCGTCAGCGGCATGGCCCTGTGGGGCGCTAATTGCCACGTGCGCTGTCACGTCTTCTACAAGAACAGGTGCGCGGGTGGGGGAAGGTTGGCTGGTTGTTATCTCCGCAGCCTGTAGGAGAGCCGTCTCGGGCGAGTCTTTGGTTTCCGATTCCTCGCTGCTGCTGCCGCCGTCGTCGCTCTCGTCGGATGAAGTGTATTCAGATGAGGAGCTGCTGGAAGTTTCAGAGGTAATGAGGGCTGCGGGCTGCCTGGGAACGCTGCCGGCCGTCTCCAGCAATTTCTCTTCCTCTTGTACCAGACTGGCAGCTTCCTCCAACTCTTCCAACTCCAAGCCCAGGTCTGCTTTGGAGAGGCCGGCGGCCTGCAGAGAGTCTGCCAGAGCCGCCACTTTCTTGGACCTGATCGGGGAAAGGAAGGAAAAAGAAAACAGTTAGTGCCACAGGGCAGGCAGATATAAAACAGCCACATTGTATACCGTGATATATTATAAAAACACAAAACCCTTCTTATTTTCTGATGTCTCTTTATATTACCCACTTGTTGCTACCAGCACAATGATGATTCATCCCTACACTGCACAGTACACAGGGAGCTGGCTGACAGGATGGGAGAGCAGAGTGCCGAGATCATCACTATGCAATTACAGTCTGGGAGGAAGGGAGGAGGGGAGTGTCTTGTCTTGCTGCGACTTTGTGATTGAGGAGACACACGCCTTATTAGCAAACACAATAGTGTCTCCATAGGATCCTGCAAGGGAAAGGAGCCACGCTAAAACAGGATATCAGTACCAAAGCTCAGGGGACCCTTTTCCCCTTTCCTTCCTTCTCCAAGCAAGGAGAAAGACTTCTGCTGGATACAGCACTGTCACTAGGGATCTTATACTGGACAAGAAGTTCTGGGAAGCTGAGCTGAGAGAGTTGGAGCTGTTCAGAAACATGATGAGTGTAAGTGCTTGGGCAAAAATGTAAAACGCTTTGCTGGCCGATAATTTTTAGTCTGGATTCATTATTGAAAAAAGTTTGCGAGTTTATTACTATTTTATAGGATATGTAAAGCCCACGAGGAATTCCTGTGATGTGCTCCACTCTGGTCTGGTCATTCTACAAGAAACTACCTGTGCTACACTCCTATCAGGATTGTTCTCAGCTTCCTCTATCTATGAGGAGGAAGAGGAAAAGAAAAGAAGGAGGGAGAAGGAAGAAAATGGAGGGAGAAAAAGAAAGAAAGAAGAGGAAGGAAGCAGGAGGAAGGAAGAAGGAAGGAAGAAGAAGACGGAAGGAGGAAGAAAGTAGAAGCAGAAGAAGGGGAAGGAAAAGGAGAAAGAGGAAGGAAGAAGAGGAAGGAGGAGCAAGGAAGCAGAAGGAAGGAGGAATAAGGAAGGAAGAAGAAGGAGGAAGAAAGTAGAAGCAGAAGGAAGAGGAAGGAAAAGGAAGAAAGAGGAGGAATTTCGAAGAGGAAAAGGAAAAAAGGAGGAGGAATTTCGAAGAGGAAAAGGAAAAAGGAGGAGGAAGAGGATGAAGAAGATGGAGGAGGAAAAAGGAGAAAGAGGAAGGAGGGCGAAGAGGAAAGAATGAGATGGAGGGGGAAGGATTAGGAGGAGGAAGAAGGAGTAGGAGCAGGAAGGATGGAGGAGGTATTTGTAGTACAAATCAGAACAGCCTAGGGTGAAAATGCTGCTTCTCCATAGACACAGAACAGTGAGTGAGTGTTGTCACCCCAGGACAGGAAGTGGGTTATTGGCAGGATCACCAGGTGGAAATAAAGGGGAGAAGCCTGAAGAAAACTAAGGCAGACACCACATCTAAGAGGCAATATATTCCATTTTTGTTCTGGAGTTGAGATTCGGATGTTATCAGTGTGTACGATCACAGAGTACTGGACAGGGACACTGCTGAGACATCTGTGTACAATCTGCTACACGACATGGCGGCACCAACTAGAGGATCGCACTGTTCCCAGACAATTGTTTGCTCCTAAAATACAGGCTGTTTATCGTACAAATTGTAACAATGTGACGGCAGATTCCATCTTGTTGTGCAAACAAATCTTCATCGGATGGTGATAAGAAACTGTCCTACCAGCCCAGCCTTAGACTACAGGTTGGATGTTATGCCATTTCATCTGTTCATTCTGTCCTAGGCTATAACAAAGAAGAGAGAGAGAGAGAGAGAGAGAGAGAAGAGCGAGGGGGGAGAGAGGGGAGAAGAAGAGCAAGGGGGGAAAGAGAGGGGAGAAGAAGAGCGAGGGGGGAAAGAGAGGGGAGAAGAAGAGCGAGGGGGGAAAGAGAGGGGAGAAGAAGAGCGAGGGGGGAAAGAGAGGGGAGAAGAAGAGCGAGGGGGGAAAGAGAGGGGAGAAGAAGAGCGAGGGGGGAAAGAGAGGGGAGAAGAAGAGCGAGGGGGGAAAGAGAGGGGAGAAGAAGAGCGAGGGGGGAAAGAGAGGGGAGAAGAAGAGCGAGGGGGGAAAGAGAGGGGAGAAGAAGAGCGAGGGGGGAAAGAGAGGGGAGAAGAAGAGCGAGGGGGGAAAGAGAGGGGAGAAGAAGAGCGAGGGGGGAAAGAGAGGGGAGAAGAAGAGCGAGGGGGGAAAGAGAGGGGAGAAGAAGAGCGAGGGGGGAAAGAGAGGGGAGAAGAAGAGCGAGGGGGGAAAGAGAGGGGAGAAGAAGAGCGAGGGGGGAAAGAGAGGGGAGAAGAAGAGCGAGGGGGGAAAGAGAGGGGAGAAGAAGAGCGAGGGGGGAAAGAGAGGGGAGAAGAAGAGCGAGGGGGGAAAGAGAGGGGAGAAGAAGAGCGAGGGGGGAAAGAGAGGGGAGAAGAAGAGCGAGGGGGGAAAGAGAGGGGAGAAGAAGAGCGAGGGGGGAAAGAGAGGGGAGAAGAAGAGCGAGGGGGGAAAGAGAGGGGAGAAGAAGAGCGAGGGGGGAAAGAGAGGGGAGAAGAAGAGCGAGGGGGGAAAGAGAGGGGAGAAGAAGAGCGAGGGGGGAAAGAGAGGGGAGAAGAAGAGCGAGGGGGGAAAGAGAGGGGAGAAGAAGAGCGAGGGGGGAAAGAGAGGGGAGAAGAAGAGCGAGGGGGGAAAGAGAGGGGAGAAGAAGAGCGAGGGGGGAAAGAGAGGGGAGAAGAAGAGCGAGGGGGGAAAGAGAGGGGAGAAGAAGAGCGAGGGGGGAAAGAGAGGGGAGAAGAAGAGCGAGGGGGGAAAGAGAGGGGAGAAGAAGAGCGAGGGGGGAAAGAGAGGGGAGAAGAAGAGCGAGGGGGGAAAGAGAGGGGAGAAGAAGAGCGAGGGGGGAAAGAGAGGGGAGAAGAAGAGCGAGGGGGGAAAGAGAGGGGAGAAGAAGAGCGAGGGGGGAAAGAGAGGGGAGAAGAAGAGCGAGGGGGGAAAGAGAGGGGAGAAGAAGAGCGAGGGGGGAAAGAGAGGGGAGAAGAAGAGCGAGGGGGGAAAGAGAGGGGAGAAGAAGAGCGAGGGGGGAAAGAGAGGGGAGAAGAAGAGCGAGGGGGGAAAGAGAGGGGAGAAGAAGAGCGAGGGGGGAAAGAGAGGGGAGAAGAAGAGCGAGGGGGGAAAGAGAGGGGAGAAGAAGAGCGAGGGGGGAAAGAGAGGGGAGAAGAAGAGCGAGGGGGGAAAGAGAGGGGAGAAGAAGAGCGAGGGGGGAAAGAGAGGGGAGAAGAAGAGCGAGGGGGGAAAGAGAGGGGAGAAGAAGAGCGAGGGGGGAAAGAGAGGGGAGAAGAAGAGCGAGGGGGGAAAGAGAGGGGAGAAGAAGAGCGAGGGGGGAAAGAGAGGGGAGAAGAAGAGCGAGGGGGGAAAGAGAGGGGAGAAGAAGAGCGAGGGGGGAAAGAGAGGGGAGAAGAAGAGCGAGGGGGGAAAGAGAGGGGAGAAGAAGAGCGAGGGGGGAAAGAGAGGGGAGAAGAAGAGCGAGGGGGGAAAGAGAGGGGAGAAGAAGAGCGAGGGGGGAAAGAGAGGGGAGAAGAAGAGCGAGGGGGGAAAGAGAGGGGAGAAGAAGAGCGAGGGGGGAAAGAGAGGGGAGAAGAAGAGCGAGGGGGGAAAGAGAGGGGAGAAGAAGAGCGAGGGGGGAAAGAGAGGGGAGAAGAAGAGCGAGGGGGGAAAGAGAGGGGAGAAGAAGAGCGAGGGGGGAAAGAGAGGGGAGAAGAAGAGCGAGGGGGGAAAGAGAGGGGAGAAGAAGAGCGAGGGGGGAAAGAGAGGGGAGAAGAAGAGCGAGGGGGGAAAGAGAGGGGAGAAGAAGAGCGAGGGGGGAAAGAGAGGGGAGAAGAAGAGCGAGGGGGGAAAGAGAGGGGAGAAGAAGAGCGAGGGGGGAAAGAGAGGGGAGAAGAAGAGCGAGGGGGGAAAGAGAGGGGAGAAGAAGAGCGAGGGGGGAAAGAGAGGGGAGAAGAAGAGCGAGGGGGGAAAGAGAGGGGAGAAGAAGAGCGAGGGGGGAAAGAGAGGGGAGAAGAAGAGCGAGGGGGGAAAGAGAGGGGAGAAGAAGAGCGAGGGGGGAAAGAGAGGGGAGAAGAAGAGCGAGGGGGGAAAGAGAGGGGAGAAGAAGAGCGAGGGGGGAAAGAGAGGGGAGAAGAAGAGCGAGGGGGGAAAGAGAGGGGAGAAGAAGAGCGAGGGGGGAAAGAGAGGGGAGAAGAAGAGCGAGGGGGGAAAGAGAGGGGAGAAGAAGAGCGAGGGGGGAAAGAGAGGGGAGAAGAAGAGCGAGGGGGGAAAGAGAGGGGAGAAGAAGAGCGAGGGGGGAAAGAGAGGGGAGAAGAAGAGCGAGGGGGGAAAGAGAGGGGAGAAGAAGAGCGAGGGGGGAAAGAGAGGGGAGAAGAAGAGCGAGGGGGGAAAGAGAGGGGAGAAGAAGAGCGAGGGGGGAAAGAGAGGGGAGAAGAAGAGCGAGGGGGGAAAGAGAGGGGAGAAGAAGAGCGAGGGGGGAAAGAGAGGGGAGAAGAAGAGCGAGGGGGGAAAGAGAGGGGAGAAGAAGAGCGAGGGGGGAAAGAGAGGGGAGAAGAAGAGCGAGGGGGGAAAGAGAGGGGAGAAGAAGAGCGAGGGGGGAAAGAGAGGGGAGAAGAAGAGCGAGGGGGGAAAGAGAGGGGAGAAGAAGAGCGAGGGGGGAAAGAGAGGGGAGAAGAAGAGCGAGGGGGGAAAGAGAGGGGAGAAGAAGAGCGAGGGGGGAAAGAGAGGGGAGAAGAAGAGCGAGGGGGGAAAGAGAGGGGAGAAGAAGAGCGAGGGGGGAAAGAGAGGGGAGAAGAAGAGCGAGGGGGGAAAGAGAGGGGAGAAGAAGAGCGAGGGGGGAAAGAGAGGGGAGAAGAAGAGCGAGGGGGGAAAGAGAGGGGAGAAGAAGAGCGAGGGGGGAAAGAGAGGGGAGAAGAAGAGCGAGGGGGGAAAGAGAGGGGAGAAGAAGAGCGAGGGGGGAAAGAGAGGGGAGAAGAAGAGCGAGGGG